TAAGCTTTGGGAGTGAGGGAAGAATGTTATGGTTTAGATATGAGGTGCAGCTGGGTTAAGTGGCACATGCCTGTCATCCCAGTGACTCGGGAAGCTAAGGCAGGAGGATCACAAGTTAAAGCTAGCCTTGGCAACTTAGCAAGGCCCTAGCAACTTAGTGAGACCTGTCTCTAAATAAACTATTTAAAAAAGGCTGGGGATGAGGCTCAGTGGGTAAGTGCCTCTGGGTTCAACCCCTGGTACCAAAAAAATAAAAAATAAAAAAAGATATGAGCTGTTATCCAATAACTCATATGTTATACAATATAAGAATTTTCAGAGGTGAAATGATAGGATTATAAAAGACTTAATCTAGGGGCTTGGGTTGTGGCTCAGCAGTAGAGCACTTGCCTAGCACACGTGAGGCCCTGGGTTTGATCCTTAGCACCACATAAAAAATAAATAAAACAAAGGCATGTGTCCAAAAATAACTAAAAAAAAAAAATTAAAAAAAGCACTTTAATCTAGTCAGTGGATTAATCCACTGATATGGATTAACTGGGTGGTAACTATAGTCAGGTAGGGTGTGACTTCATGCTCCTGGGGTTTATATTCTGTTCCTGGTGAGCAGAGCTCTCTCTGCTTCTGATGGCCATGTCCTGAGCTGCCTTCCTCTGCCATGATATTCTGTATCATTCAGGCTCAGAGATATTGAGTTGGCTGTCTATGGACTGAGACCTCTAAGCTTGTGAGTACTAAATAATCTTTTTCTCCTCTAATCATTCTTGTCAGGTCTTTTGGCCACAGTGGCAAAAAAGCTGACTAAAAGAAATGTACAGTCCAAAACTACAAAATTCCTAGAGGAAATATAAGAGAAAACCCAGATGATATTGGGCGTGGCAATGACTTTCAAATATAGCATGAAAGGCACAATTTATAAAAGAAATAACTGATACGCTGTATGAAAGAAATAACTGATAAGCTGGACTTCATTAAAATTAAAAATTTCTGACTTCAGTGGGGAAAAAGTCAAAAGAATTAGAAGATGAGCCATAGACTATGAAAGAAGCCAATTTGAAAGGCTACATATCATTATGGTTCCAAATATATGACATTCTAGAAAAGGGAAATCTATACACACTGTAACAGATCAGTGGTTGACAGAGGTTGTTAGATATATAAATGGGGCAGGAGAACGGATGAATAGGTGAAGCACAGGGGACTTCTATGGTGATGAAATAATTCTTTATGATACTATACATGATATCATGTATTTATCAAAATACACAAAACTGTCCAGCCCAGAGTAAACTTTAATGTAAACTATAGACTTTCATTCATAATAATGTATCAATAGAATTAGTTTGACAATTAAGAAATGTGTCATACTAATGCAAGATGTTAATAATCGAGAAGCTGTGTGTTGTGGTGGGGTAGGGGATGAGGTCTTATTATTTGCTCAATTTTTCTATAAGCCTAAACAATGTTAAAAAAAAATAAAGGCTTTTAATTAAAAACAAAAACAGGAATTAGATTGGGAAATAAAGCCAATAGCAAATCACAGTTTATAAACTCTAAAGTTATCTTGAAATTTTTTATTAAGTTGTCAAACTCTGAACAATTTTGGAGTTCAAGTATACACAAAACTACTTTTTTTTTTTTTTTTTTTTTTTTGCTAAAACTTGAAATAAAAACAGAAAAAGCCAGACATGGAGGCACAAGTCTATAGTTCCAGGAGGATCACAAGTTAGAGGCCAACTTTATCAAGTTAGCTAACCTGGAAGCTGATAGAGCCCACAAGTTTGAGGACAGCCTGAGAAAAATAGAGAGACTCCATCTTAAAAATAAATAAACCAACCAACCAGAAGTGTTTAGTGAAAGGGTCAGTTAGTAAAACTACACAAATCTGTTGGAGTATTCTGTAGTCATTTGATCTAGCTCTGAATTTCAGCTTTATACTTAGTTGTCAAGTTGGGCAATCATTCTAAGCTTTAGTTTTCTCATAGGGTTGTTGTGAACATTAAATAAAATAATGTATGGAAGGGCCTTGGTATAAATCCCAACACATTATCAGTATTCAATAAATGTTCATTTTTTTTATTACATATGTAAATTCACATATCTAAACTAAATAAATCCATTGGTTTTTGAAGGTAAAAATTCTAATCATTTCACTGATGTAATGAAAACTTAATGGCACTTGCCTGTAATCCCAGTGGCTCAGGAGGCTATAAAACAGGAGGATCACAAATTAGAGGCCAGCTTTATCAAGTTAGCAAGGCCTTGTAAGCAACTTAGTAAGACCCTGTCTGAAAATTAAAAAATAAAAAGGGCCAGGGATGTAGCTCACTAGTAAAGTGCCCCAAGGTTAAAACCCCAGTACAAAAAACTGAAACAAACAAACAAAAAAATAGTCTTAGTATGAAGCTTCTAAATGAACTTCTAAACATACTTCTACATCATCTTTGAAAAACTGCAAAAACTTTACACTATTAGATGACTAATAAGGTCTATTGAATTATTACTGCCTAATTTAAAAAATTCACACATCTCATTAAATGTAGTAGAGAATGAATATAAAATCGACCTGGATTTAATGGGGGAAAAAAATCCAAATTATTAACTTCTTTGAACTTCAATTTCAGTTTAAAATCAGAATTTAGTATGGGTGATCTTCAAAATTCCAGCCAGTTTTAAGGTTTTTGTGTCTAATAGTTGATTATCCTGATATTTTATTTAAATTTTATTTATTTATTTATTTTAAAAATATTTTTTTTTTTAGTTTTAGGTGGACACAATATCTTTATTGTACATTTATGTGGTTCTGAGGATCGCACCCAGTGCCTTGTGCATGCTAGGTGAGCACTCTACCACTGAGCCACGACCCCAACCCTAAATATTATTTATTGATTGACTTTTAATGTGCACTGAGCAGAAAAATAAGAGAGTTCTATTTTAAGAGAAAACTTTTACAAAGTTAGATTCAAATGAAAATGGAGTTCTACTGAAGAACTTATTAAAACTGAAATATTTGTCAAGAATACAATTCAACTTTCTAAAGTAAATTGTCTAGCATACAATTTGGATACAATTAAACTTTTCTAAAATAAATCAAGTATATTGACATACTGTCTAAACATGATGACATTAAGATTAAAAATTTCTCAATATCCTAGGGAGCTCTTTATTTTGATTTTTAAACATAAACAGTAGTGTGGTAGGTCAACAGCAATTATGAATTTAATTACCATAGCTATAAAATAGTTTAATGTTACCTGAATATCTCTATGCTTAATAATTATTAGGTAGAATTATTACTATTCTACTATCCTATGATGGAAGACCTATTATTATCATCCTTTTATTGAGGCTCACTGTTCAAATTTTAGAAGATTATCCATAATATGGCACTATGCAAAAAGTGTTTTACCTATATCATTTTATTTAAACCTTTAAAATATCCTTGATTCAGTTACTTGCTCCAATTTGCATATTATATACAGGCAAGTTAAGTAAATTTCCCAAGATTATATTTAAGAAATAACAAAGAACTCAAACTATATGTGTTGACTCCAAAGCCCATCTTTTGAAGTCATAGACAAAGCACCCACCTTCGCCTATTAGTCAAAACTCCATAGCTTTAAATCATTTTTTTTGATAGGTTAATAAAATAAACTCTGCTCATTTTTGTTTTCAACTTTTCCTGGTAAAAATTTATTAGAGGCAGTTCCTAACACAAAAAAAACTCTCCAGTCAGTAAACTAAGAATCTCTGTCTGATCTCATCCAAAAGCTAGAGGTCTAACAGTAGCCATTGAGAAAACATTCTGTAGAACAGATTCAGAAGTGGACTTGGGAAGGAATTGTAAAAACTGGGAACAGTTTAGGGAAAAGAACTGCAAAAGCTTACTCTGTTTCTTTCCAGGTGCCCCATCACACAGCTTATCTCCTTTTTGTCTTTTCACTGACATTTCATTAATAAAACTTGTATGGGCATTAAAACACATTTTCTATTAAAAATACTTTAGATAGAGCATTAGCCATTAATAAATTTGCATAAATTTTTTTTAATATTTATGTTTTTTTTAGGTGTAGATGGACACAACACAATGCTTTTTTTTTTTTTTTTTAATGTGGTACTGAGGATCGAGCCCGGGTCTACCGATGAGCCACAATCCCAGCCTCGAATTTGCATAAATTTATAGAAGAAAAACTTTTTTTCCTTTTAAGATGAGTTGGAAACAGCTATTCTGAGGGAGTGAAGAGTTTAATTTGGAGGTAAGGAAGCAATTATAACTATAGACTGAAAGAACTTTGAGGGATTTGACAGTCCTGAACTAAATGTGAAGACTGAAGGAAGTATGAATACCCTAGGTAAGTACACTAGTAAAGGGGTAGTGATACTGACAAAGGAAGATTGTCAAACAAACCACTTTTTGAAAATTTTGCCCAGACTTGGATTTTGCCAATGAAAAAAAAAACTTGATTTTCTTATGGGAATGCAAAATGCAATTATAATTTAAACAAACTTTCTGTGGTTATAGWAGGAAAATTCTATTTAAAGCAATTCCCATATAGAAAAATGGGTTTAAATATGAATACCAAATCCACTGTTGAAATAGAGATTAAAAGCAGTTCTAACTTTATGAACATCCTTTCAGAAAAATAATTTGTAGTGAAAAGTATTATTCCTTCTCATTTCTTCCAACAATTTCTACTACTCTCTTCAGTCCTGACAACTGCAGAATGATTTAAAATACCTAATTTCCCCATCTATCCTTGATGTCAGTACATGCATAATTTATTATCACTAATTCCCAAATTAACTCAATGTAAAGTTTTTGAGAAGTGAAATACTAATAACATTAACTAGGTATAAAATTTTTTTTTCCCAAACTGGTAACCATAAATAGAACAATTGCCTATAACAAAGTATAATTTGACTTTTTCATTAATATGTAAGAGATAATAGTTAACTTATAAAGCTGTTGCTTTCACTTAAATTAAAAATAAAATGATTACCTTCAGGCAGTGGCCCAAGTTTAAATTCCAGTCCTCAAGCATTCTGCCACCCCCAGAATGTTCTTTCATGTTCACCAAAGTTCTTCCTTTTGGGGGACACTAAATAACAGTTGTAGCTTCATTTATATGAAAGTTATAATTGTGTCTTCACAGCAGCATTTTCTCTGTAATGAGAAATTATTCAATGTCTATTTCATTTTTCTGTACATAAATAAAACTACTAGATTTCATTACGCAGGTTTTATTGAAAAAGTAGCTATTACCAGCCACACTTGGTAGAACCACTTGGTAGTTCTCATTTGAAGAGAACTAAAGAGCAGGCTGCCTTTACAGATAATTACATGTGTCTTAGAGTAGGTGATTTAACCCCTCTGTGCCTGTTTTCTTATCTAAAATTAAGAATCCAGACTATGGTTTTATTTCAACTCTCACACTCTACAGAAACAAATGAAACAGACCTCTACAGCAACTCACATATTTTACATCTATTTCCTCAAGGAAAACATTTACTAACAGACTATCTTTCCAAGCCACAAGAAACTTTAAAACCTCTTCTCTCTTACTCCCAACCCTAGTACTGATAAACTTCTTTCTTTTTGCTTCCTTCCTTTTGGTGGTGTTGGGGATTTAACCCAGAGTCTCATACATACTGGTAGGCAAGTGATTTACCACTAAGCCACATTCCAGCGCTATAAATTTACTTCTTAAGTAAGAAGCACTGGGATTGGATGAAAAAAAAGAAAGAAAAAATTATTAAATTTGGAGTTAAGCCAGTTAATGATCAGACTTCAGAAAACAGTATTCATTTTTTTCTGGCAAACTGCTATCTAGAATACTATCATATCACATTACAAAAGTAGATTTTATGTTATATCAAAAAACTAGAGCCTGGGGTGGTAGTGCATCTAACCCAGTGAATCAGTAGGCTGAGGCAGGAGGACTGCAAGTTCAAAGCCAGATTCAGCAATTTGGCGAGATCCTAAGCAACTTAATAAGAAGAGCTGGAGATTTAGGTCAGTGGAAATCCTCAGTACCAAAAACAAAACAAAACAAAAAAAATTGGTGCTTCAGTTTTTTATTTATGGAGAGAAAGGCATTTTTATTGTTTACATAGTGAATGCATAGTAGATGAAAAGAACTTAGGATACTAACATTTTTTTTCATTTTGTTGAACAGCAATTCTATTTGTTCTAAACTGTAATTTTTCAGGTGTAATTTCCAGAAAAACTGTCTTATCACTTAATTATTATTGAATTTCCCCCATAGATTTCTGTGTATTAAAATTTATTGGTTATGCTGGGCACAGTGGTGCGCACCTGTGATCCCAGCAAGGCAGGAGGATCATAAGTTCAAGGTCAACCTCAGCAACTTAGCAAGACCCTAAGCAACTTAGTGAGTACTTGTTTCAAAATTGAAAAAAAATGAGCTGAGGTTGTAGCTTAGTGGAAGTGCGCTTGCCTAGCATGTGTAAGGCACTGGTTTTGATTCTCAGCACCATGTATGAATAAATAAAATAAAGGTCCATCAACAAACAAAAAATAATTTTTTTAATATTTATTTTTTAGTATTTGGCGGACACAACATCTTTGTTTGTATGTGGTGCTGAGGATCGAACCTGGGCCGCAAGCATGCCAGGCTCAAGTACACTACTGCTTGAGCCACATCCCCAGCCCCAAAAAATAATTTAAAAAAAAATTAAAAAAATAAAAAGGGTGGTGAATGTGGTTCAATGGTAAAGTACCTTTGGGTTCAATCTCTAGTACCAAAACTAAATAAATAAATAAAATAAAATTCATCTGTTAAAAACAATGATCTGAGAATAAACTCCCAAACAGGATGACTGAAGGATGAAGCCACTTGAAATCTTAGGATTTCTTTTAATTCTACAACCAACCAAGTAGGGGACTCTCCACACACACAAACAGGACAGAAAAGAAAAACATGTATTTTCCAAGATGTGGTTCTCCAGATAGCAATGTGTCTGAGGACTACAAAAAATTAATTCCATAGGAAATTGTTTTGAACCCAAAGCTTGCCATTAATGTACTAAATGATATTAAGAAAAACATTCAAAGCAAAAGTATTAGCTATGTTAGGTACTGTTTGGAGGTGACATCAAACATGACACATAAATCACTGCTGAAAGAAAACCCAAAACATCATATGGGGTATTCAGTTATTTTTGCAACACTTATTAGCTAAGTTTTCCTTAAAGTCTCAATAGAAATAAGTTCTTTACTGAATTTTCAAGACTTCCAATTTGCAATCGAAGTCTTATTTCCTTAAGAATATTCTATATTGATATTCTTTATCTTCCCCATATTAATGTTTTCAAACAAAGTGCAAATTATTTGGCTCAGTTATTATTCTTAATTTGCTAAATTTCATATTAATGACAGTTTAAAATTTCCAAGATATTTTAACTAATGATGTTACTAACAAATACCACAAGATTTCAGTTAAGAAAGTGTTTCAAGCTTCAGATWCCTCAACTTATTTTAACGTGTAAATCCACATCATTACAAGCTCAATCATAACAAAGTGTTTTTCTGGGACTTCTGTAAAGGTTTTCTCATTTTATTCCTCCATCCAAGTGGCTATCTCTCTCATTTGCTCACATAGGTAAAGCTCCTAGTTAAACTTGAATACATAATATGATAATAATATTTACTGAGAATTTATATGGCATCTTAATTCATTCAGTTGACTAAAACGTGGCAGAGAGAGGTACCAGTCAGGATGGAACCCAGGCATTCTGGTTCCAGGGTACATTTTATAAAAGTGAGTAAACTGAAAATAGTCGTGGTTTTATTGCCATTGCTCTCCAATAAAAGATTATATTTCACTCCCAATTGTTTAAATTACTTCTAATTTCCTACAGCTGATTTAAACATTAGGGGTCTACTTAATCTAATACATCTTTAAGTAACATAGGGGAAAGCTTTAGTTTTCTTCACCCGCACACATACCGTTCCGCCCACAAATTTTGCAATCCAGTTCTGCCTGATCCTAAACTGTTCTCTCTTGAAGACCCCCTCTTGGAGCTTTGCTGGCGAATGCCTTAAAATGTGACTTTGTGATCTGGAGAGTATCATCTCCATCCAGCCTATCTCAGAGAAACAACTATATTGAGCTAGAGTAATTACTGGGATCATTGCGACCAAGACAAGGCTTTGGGTAACTTCAAAACAAAAAGTAAAAAAAAGCCAGGGGTAGAAGGTGTGGGCAGAAGCTTTTCTTCTTCTAAACACAAGGTATAAAAAGGCTGAGAAAGTGGGGAGGGGAGACGCTTAAAAGCCGGGCGCGCGAGAGCGTGGGAGACCATGCACAGGGCGCTCCTGCCAAAGGGGCGCGGGTCCTTGGCGGTGATGGCTCGTTTTGGGGTTCTGCAACCCTCAAGACACCTAACCTCCTCCTTCTCCAGTCTGCCTCCCTGGGGCCCGCGAGCCCCCTCCCGGGCCCGTGGTAGTGGGCCTAGCTAGGAGGGCCCGGAAAAAGCCCCGAGAAAGAGAAAGAAGGGCGCCGTCAGTGCCCGGCTGCGGCAGGGGCGGGGGCCGGCAGTTGCTACCAGCCCGGGCGGGTCAGGAGGTGACGCGAGGAGGTAGAAAGGGGGGTTGGGAGGTAGCATCCAGTCCGTCAGCGCAGATGACTCTGCCAAACCTCTAGTTCCCCAGCCCTGCCGCCGCCGAAAGCCCCACAAGGCGAGGAGGGAAGTCCGCCGGAGCAGAGGGGAGAAAATTCAAAACGAGTCTACTCAACCTCGTCTTGGCTCCGAGGCCCCGCCATGGAGACCAGCACAATGCGCAGGCGCACCTCTCTGGGAAGTGCAGTGCGGTCCCACGCGGTGAGACCACTATCGGCCACCGTCGGGGGTTTCTTTTCAGAACGTTATTTTTCTCGTATTTCCGCCTTGGCGAACCCGAGGCTAGTGGTGAGAACTCGGGAAAAGTCATGGGTGGATCAGGTTGTGGTTGAGAACATACCTAAGAAAAGGAACTTGGGAAGATCTTAGTCAACTAGAGGAAGTTTAATAAATATATGGCTGGAGTCAGGAGGATTTAATGCAAATAAGAGATCTTGATACACCGTGACAAGACTACAGTTCCCAGTGGTCACAGCGTTTGAGACGCGCGGCTTCCTGGGAATTGTAGTATCTCACAACTGCGTTTGAAGTATCCAGTCTAACGATAGTGTTTTATTTTAAAATACAGATTTGAGTTGGAAATTTCTCAAGCTTCCTAATCGATCACAGCCTAAAGGTATGGAAAGAAATCTAAAAAAAGATTAAGGGGGCACTCTGCCTTTAAGACTGTGCTTTACCAATCGGTGATTCCTAAATCTAGGAATAGGTATTTGATGTTTGCGGGCTGGGCCTGTGTGGAAGGTGAACCTCGTGGTGCCTTCTGCTGAGGAAACCCGGGGGAAGAAAGCCGAAATCAGTCTTGGACCGCAGTTCTCGCCTACCCGTTCAGACTAATTTTAATTATCTCTTTTTGTAGTATTAAGAGGTTAAAAAGCACCTCTTTTTTGACTGCTAACTCATACGTTTTCGAGGCCAAGTCTTCTCGCCATGGCTCAGCTCCAGACACGCTTCTACACTGACAACAAGAAGTAAGTAAGCGGCCCAGCCGTCGGGATTAGCCTCTTTCCCAGGCACGACCTTGTGTTCTTGTTTTTCCCGATTGTCATTGTCTTTGCTGTCAGCTACTCCCCGCCACCGTTTTTTCCCTTTGTTCCTGCTGTTCTCCTAACTTGAGCCCCTGGTCTCCTCAGAAGTGGTGCCTTGCAAGGGTTTCTCAGGAACCTCTCAGAGGGTCTCCAAGATCACCTCCTTACTGCTCGCTTCCTGGGCTCCATATAATTTGAATTGTGTATGGAGGAAACTGAAGGGCTGCGGGTTTGCTTTCTGAATGATGCACACCATATGCATAATTTGAACAGTGAACAAAAGGGCCGTGTCGTTACAAACTGGCTGCTAGTGGTGTTTCACAGCTTCTGAAAACATAACTGCCTTTTCCCCCCTATATTTCTAATTGATGTATTATAATGGTACCTAGTGGTGGGATTCGTTGTTACATTATTTCTTCATGCACACAATATAAAAATATAATTTGCCCGATATCATTCTCCATTATTTCCCCTTTCTCTCCCCTCCTCCTTCCCCTTGGTCTCTTTCTTCTACTGTTCTTCCTTGTTTTTAATTTTCTTTTTAAGTAGGTGATAGAAAATGCTTTTATAAACCAGGGTAGAAAGTGGATCTCTGAATAGAGGGTTGGTAGAACTGAAGTCAATTCAGTGTATATTGTGTTGTATGCTGTACTCTTTTTATAAAATGTACTTACATATGTGTAAATATCATTTATATACAAACATTTACCATTGATTTTTTTTGTGTGTGTGTGTGTGCGTGTGTGTACAAAGCGATTTTTACCAATGGTTCCTAGATTTGTAGAACATATTTGAAATCTACTTATGTACTACCTTGTGGTGTAAGTTGCACTATTAATATTTTAAGTCCCTTAAATGCAGAAACCATGTCTTAAACTTCTTGGGTTGACTGAGTCAACAATGTTTGTCAAATTTTTCTGGTACTAATGATGAATGATATATATATATATATGTTTGTTGTATTATGCTAATGTCAGGCATAATTTAGAAATCTCCCTCTTGAATTAAGATTATACCTTTGATTTAGTGTTTATAACTTTTATGAGTTAACCTTTAAATCATTTTCACTCTTATGTTGTTCACAGTATATATAAATCATATCATTAATGAACATTAATTTATATACTTAGCCTTAATATTTCTCAAGGAATGTGATAATGCACTAGCATAGCCACTGTCATTATTATTACTTTCTGGGGGGGTACCAGGGGTGGAACTCAGGGGCACTCAACCACTGAGCCACATCCCCAGCCCTATTTTGTATTTTATTTAGAGATAGAGTTGCTTAGCATTTTCCTTTTGCTGAGGCTGACTTTGAACTCATGATCCTCCTGCTTCAGCCTCCCGAGCCACAGGGATTACAGGGTGCGCCTCCATGCCCAGTTGCCATTGTATTTTTTAATTGAAATTTTTATTGAGATAATTGTTGATTCACAGAAAGTTGTAAGAAATAATAATAGATCACTGTGTGTGTGTGTGTGTGTTTGTGCCCATTCTTAGGCAACAAAATTTAGAAATTAAAGTTCTGCTTCTTCCTTTCAATTAATACATATTGGTATGTGTAGATAGATATGTATACACATATATACACACACACACATATATATGCACACTCACATATAAAATTCACATTCACTGTATATGGGTATGCACGTGTGTAAAAGAGAATCACATTATTCTTCCCTCCCTGTTTTATTGATCAAAATAGTAAAATGAAGAAGCAAAAATTTTAATTCTATGTTTTGTTACTTTTTGGAATAGCTGCTTTCTGGGACATGGTAAATATATAGCTATTATTATTCCAAGGGTAGTTTGAGGACCAGCAGTATCATATTCACAGTTGTGCCACATCACCTCTGTCAACGTTAGACATTTTTCATCACCCTTTAGCTATCCTCACCCCACCCCACCATCCCAGCTCCAACCACTAGGTAAACACAGAGCTACTATTTTTTTTTTAAGAATTTTTTTTAATATTTATTTTTTAGTTTTCGGCGGACACAACGTCTTTGTACGTGGTGCTGAGGGTCGAACCCGGGCCCCACGCATACCAGGCAAGCGCGCTACCGCTTGAGCCACATCCCTAGCCCCCAGAGCTACTATTTGTTTCTGTAAATTTGTCTATTCTGGATGTTTTTTATAAATGGAATTATTTATTTATTTGCTTATTTATTTAGGTGTTGGGAATTAAACTTAAAGCCTAGAGAATGCTAGACAAAAGCTCTACCCCTGAGCTACACACCCCACCTAATACATGGTCTTTGTGACTGGTTTCTTTCACTTACTATGTTGTTTTCATGGTTCATCTATGCTATAGTATGTTTTCCTTCTTAGGACCAAATAATATTCCATTGTATTGATATATCACATTTTTCTATTCATGTCCAATTGTTAAACATTTAAGTTGTTTCCACCTATTATGAATAGTGTTTATGCGAACATTAACTTACAAGTTTTTGTGTGAACATATGTTTTCATTTGGTAATTCCACATTTAACTTTTTGAGAAACTGTCAGACTGTTTTCCAGGCAGCTACATTATTTTACATTACAACCATCTATGTATGAGGGTTCCAGTTTCTCTATACCTCATCAGTATCTTTTAGTAGCTGTTTTTTTTTTTTCCCCCAGTGTTGAGAGCCACAACCAAGTCACGATGGCTCCTGGCATTTTGCCAGAAGGAGTGGTTGAGGGGTAGCACCAGCGAGCCATTAGGATGATGATGGTTAAGTTAAGCTGTGTATAATTATTCGGATGATGGCTGATTGCTGTAACTGGATGATGCTGGATTGGGGCAGGCTGTGTATTCAGTTGTGTATATGGACCTCTGCTGTCCGGCAATAGGGCGTCTCCTGCTACCTCAGATGCCTGGATGCCCGCTACTTTTGAGTTCTCCCGGAGTTACCGTTGAGTTCCTGGGGTGTTCCCGTGGAATAAAGTTCGTTCCTGCTTGACTCTACAAGTGGCTCGTGACCTCCCGGTTATTTGTGCCCAGCCAGACTGCGGCACTCCAGCAACCCTAGTATCGTGATATTTCTTCATGGTTTGATTTGCATTTCTCTGATAACTGTGAACATCTTTTCTGAGCCTATTGGCCATTTTTATATATTTTCTGGAAAACCATCTATTCAAATCCTTTGCCAATTAAAAAAAAATTCAATTATCTTTTTATTACAGATTTGCAAGTTTTAAGTATGTTCTAGCTATAAGCTTCTTATCAGATATATGTTTGCAAATATTTTCCCACATTCTTTCTTATGAGTCTCCTAATCTGCTTCTTCTCCTGTGTTCCTCTAATCCAGTTTCTTTCTTTTTTTTTTTTTTTTTTTTGTGGTGCTGGGGATTGAACCCAGGGCCTTGGGCATGCCAGGCAAGCACTTTGCCAATTGAGCTATTCCCCCACCCCCCTAATCCAGTTTCCATTGCACACCCAGAAAGATCTAGCTAAACAAAATTCTGATGATATTCTGTAACTTGGACTGCTACAGTGATGCTGTGTTTTCAAAACAGTAAAAGCTATTTCATAAACGTGGCATAGCCTTATCTTTGGTCACTGCCTAAAGCAAAATCACACTTTCTGAAATAGAAACAACTCCTAGTTATTGTTTTGCTCTTCTCCCTATTTTCTTGTGTACTTTTCATGCCTACTCCTCCCTCCCCTGACAAAAATTACTTTTCTAGATGAGGCTTAAGAATGATTTTGAGGCATCCTTTCAGACCTTGCACCACCACTCCTTTTCTTTGATTGAAATGACTTATCACTTCTTATTCTCTCATTTTGTATCCATTATCATTTATAGCATTGTTTTTACAAAACTAATTGTATTTGATTACCTGACTTTAACCTCACTAGAGAATAGACATATTTTCATTCATTTTGTTTACTCAGTGTGGTAGTTATCCAATAAATGTTTGTTGAATGAATAAACACACATTGGTTAAAATATTTGTTGACTTGATTTTCACATATTGTTTTCTTTTTATAGATATGTGGTAGATGATGTTCCCTTCTCAATTCCTGCCACCTCTGAAATTGCTGACCTTAGTAACATCATCAATAAATTGCTGGAGGCCAAAAAYGGTGGGTATATATGCTTTTGACTCAGAGAAGTTCAGAGGGTATAGTACCAATAGCTGCACTAAGATACATTTTTATTTATTTGACTCAATATATGAATTTTGTAACAGTAATATAAATTGTAACATACAGATTTTTCTGCTGCATGATACTTTGAAAGAATAATACTCAGGAAAAAAAATATTTCTGTTTAATCTGCTTTTTAAGTCAATATGGAGGTAAGGTGATTTTAATTTAAGAATAAAGATTTTAGCATACTGGTTGTGATACAGAGATACTCAAGGCAGTATGACCATGATATGGAGGGTGAATTATGTAGGCATAAAATAAGTGTCTCAGTGCTTAGGTCCCACTTGCTAGTGAAGCTCAAAGCTACACATCTCTTTAGCTGCAAAGCAAAACAAAAGTATCTGAATTTGAGTATTTGTTTTATGTTATAACAAAATGTCAGTATAATACTGGTATTTGTGTGTGTATGTGTTTTCAGAAGTCATACAAATGTAATGGATATAGGGGCTGGGGTTATAGCTCAGCAGTAGAGCGCTTACCTTGCACATGTGTGAGGCACTGGGTTCAATCCTCAGCACCACATACAAATAAATAAAGTCAAGATATGGTGTCCATCTTAAAAAAAAAATTACATACAAGAATATCAAGTAAAAACATTTTAAAGATAAGCATATATGAACTAATAAGTTGTCTGTTAAACTGTATAATGAGCATTAAAATATGGATGAAATAAGATTGCCCATGAGTTGTTAATTGTTGAAGTTAGATGATAAGTCTTTAAGGGCTTATTGTTCTCGACTTTTTTATACATTTGAAATTTTCAGTATGTTTGTTCTTTTTTTTTTTTTAAAGTAAAGGAACATTACATAAAACAGAAAACTGAACATAAAAAATGAAAAATAAAATAAAGTGTTATCTTCTTTTTTTAATATTTTTTTAGTTGTTGACAAACCATTTATTTATTTATTTATTTATTCGTAATGTGATGCTGAGAATCGAACCCAGTGCCTTACATAAGCCAGGCAAATGCACTACCGCTGTGCCACATAAAGTGTAATCTTTAAAAACAAAATTTGTCAAAGTAGTACCATGTAGAGGCAAGCATGTTTTTATTCAGTTGTTTTCAATGCGCAAAGCAGCTCTTCTATTAGAGGAATGCCTTAGTTGGAAGAATGGGTAGATAAGAGTTATAAACTAATGCCTGATATTTGCCCCTTCTTCATCTTCAAGTAGTCCCATAATTTTTTTGTGAAGTTTGATATGATGTTTTTGAACAGCCTTTTTTTTAAGTTGGGGATATTCAGGGCCTGTAATATGTTTATTGCTAGCAAGCTACAGTTCTGATTCAAAGATACTCACATAGCATTTTTGTTTACTTCCTTGCAGTATTGGGGATTAAACTCAGGAATGCTCTACCACTGAGCTACATTCCTAGCCCTTTTTATTTTTTATTTTGAGACAGTGTCTTGACAACATGCTGAGGCTGGCCTCAAACTTGTGATCTTTTTGCCTTGTTCTCCCGAGTCACTGGGGTTACAGGAGTGTGCCATCACACCTGGCCTCTTGTAGCACTTGCAGTTGATCCAGTTCTTTACTTTAATTGTGAATGTATAACAATTCTGATTTATAAACTTCTGAACTTACAGACTAAATATTTGTCATTTTTATATATAAAATGACAAAATTTTATATAATATAAATTGAATAACGACTGCTCTTGAGTTGAAGATACAAATGATTCAGATTTAAGATTTTTTAAAACACAGCAAGCCAAATAGTTGATGAGGGAATTTTTCTTTTAGGAGGATTATAGCTAACAAGTATAGAAAGAATGATAGAATTAGATTACTAGTTCCTGACTCCAAGTGAAACAAAGGATATAAGTGTGATTACCATTAGCTGCTATGGCCATTAAGTAGGTTAATAGCTGACAGGGAACATTATGATGCTTTGGATCCAACTGACATCATCTGAGTCCAAAGATGGATCATACATCTTAAAAAGAGACAGAACTAAATGTTATGTGCATCCTCCTATGATGCAGAGGAAATACATGCCTACAAATAATCTTGCCAAAAAAAATGAAACTAGAAATCTCACCAAACTTTACGTATGGCTAGTTTACTGGCTACATAGGTGATAGAGTCTAACACATTAAAGAAAACTTTGAAGATGCAATTTCAATGCCCAATACCAGTAATGATGATAATAATAATAATAAAACAACAACAACAATTACAGCAGCAATAGTAAGAAAAATCTTATACCAACAGAACAAAGTATTATTGTTCTTGAAAATTCACATGGTTTACTGAAATACATTTGTCTGATGTGCTATAAGAAATTCTAGAGAAACTCAGGCCACAGTGGGTTAATGTGTATGTTTTTATTTCAGGGATTCTTGTGTATCTTTATTAATAATACTTCAGACCCTAAGAATGCAAATAATTTTATTCTGTATTTTCTTTAGAGTTCCACAAACATGTGGAGTTTGATTTCCTTATCAAGGGCCAGTTTTTGCGAATGCCCTTGTTCAAACACATGGAACTGGAGAACATCTCATCAGTAAGTTCAAGTACTACCTTCTGTATTTTGCTTAAAGCATTATCAGATATTGCAACTCCTTGTAGAAGCAGTCTGAATCTATCTATAATACTCGAGATTGTTTTGATTATTGTTTTCTTCTGTGAAATCATAATTTCTATATATTTAATTTTTAAACCTCTTATAAGAACATGTTATTTAAGAAAATGCAGGTGAATTAACATGTTCTTCATATTTATGAAAGAAATGCCAAGAAATGGAGTAGCAAATATATTTATACTAATACAGCAATACAAAATAATTTTTTACATATAAAAACTATGGCTGTTAGGTTATTATGATTTATTGTGCTTCCTCTCCTTTTAATTTTCAGACTTGGGGTTTTTTTTTGTTTTGTTTTTAAAGGAATTTTTAAAATAACTTTGTTTGTTTATTTTTTTTAATATGGTGCTGAGGATTGAACCCAGTGCCTCACACATGCAAGGCAAGCGCTGTACCACTGAGCTACAACCCCAGTCCATCCTTTTTTTTTTTTTTTAAAGAGAGAGGAGAGGGGGAGAGAGAGAGAGAGAGAGAATTTATTTATTTATTTTAGTTCTTGTCGGACACAACATCTTTGTTTGTATGTGGTGCTGAGGATCGAACCCGGGCCACACGCATGCCAGGCGAGCACGCTACCGCTTGAGCCACATCCCCAGCCCCCCCAGTCCATCCTTGATATTGTTTTTATAATTAAATATACAATTTACAATTGATTTTACAATTTTTATGGTTTGAAAAATTGTGGTAAAATATATAAGTACACAATTTAGTGGCATCAAGTTCATTTACAATATTATGCAACCATCATCACTGCCCATTTCTAGAACTATTACAACATCCTAAATAGGAACTCTACCAATTAAATGGTAGGCTTTTATCTTTTTTATTTTGAAGTTTTTTCATGTTTTTCTACCCACATTTAGCATAATTTTTCTAAGGCTATTTCTTTTTTTTAAATATTTATTTTTTAGTTGTAGTGGACACAATACCTTTATTTCACTTATTTATTTTTATGTGGTGCTGAGGATTGAACCCAGTGTCTCGCACYTGCAAGGTGAGTGCTCTACCACTGAGCCACAACCCCGTATATATTCGTAGCACACTGTTTGGTAAAGTTTTTTACTTTTTCAGTGGCTCCAAATTTTCTAGGTTATACAGGAGACTAACATGAAGGAGATACATTAAGTTGGGGGTTCCTTTATCTTCATAGTAATATTTTAAAACCAAATCACCAATTGATTTCTGGTTTCTGGTTTCTCGCTGACTAGGAAGAGGTTGTGGAACTAGAATATGTGGAGAAGTACACTGCACCCCAGCCAGAGCAATGCATGTTCCATGATGACTGGATCAGTTCAATTAAAGGAGCAGAGGAATGGTACTAATAGATGAATATTCTTCTCTTTTCTTACTTTCTTAAGTCTTTTTAAATCCACTATATGAATATTTTTTCCAACTCCCTGTTCTTTGTCAGAGTAAGTTTGTTATATGTGTATTAGTGATCACAGCAGACAGAAAGATTTTTGCCTTCAGTGTATTCAAAAAGAAAACTGGTATTTATTGGTAGGTTTCTTTTCTGTTTCAAGATGTGACCTTTATTTTTTATACAAGTCAAGTGTCTTAAAGTATTTAATTTACTGGGTTTGAGTATGTTGCTTTTACGACCAGGGATATAATTTATTTCCTAAAAGAAAAGTAACTTTCATAGCCACAGATCTCCTGGCCTACTACCATGAAGATGTAGATCATGAAAATTTAGGGCTACAGTCGGCACAGTTGAGTCAAGTAAGAAAATATAGATGGCTCAGAGTAAATCCGTAATGAACTTACTTGTAGAAGACTACCTCAAGAGTGAATCATAGGAAGATCTTACCTTTAAAAATGAGTCTCTGGAATTATTACACAAAGCCATGTTTTAACTGATTTTACTTTAAATATTTTTTCTTGCTTTGTTACTTTTTGTGGTGTTGGGATTGAATCCTGGGCCTTGTACATGCTAGGCAAATGTTCTACCACTGAGCTACATCTCCAGCCCTGTTTATCTCTTTAATGCTTTTCCCTGGTTAATTACAAAGCACTATTAGGCTTTATAAACTATTTGCATAGTTTCCCTGGGATTTCTAGTATTTTCAATAATAATAAAAGTGAAATATAGGGTTTTCAGTTGCTATATTAGTAGGTCAGGAAAACTCTAAAGTATAATATAACATCTGATATATTTTAAAATCTTCATATTAAAAAAGCATTTAAGGGCTGGGGTTGTTGCTCAGTGGTAGAGCACTTGCCTAGTATGTGTGAGGCACTGGGTTTGATTCTTAGCACCACATGTAAATAAATAAAATAAAGGTCCATTGACAACTAAAATAAATAAATAAAAAGCATTTAAAAATATAATCTCCACCATTTATTTTGTAGTTGCCATAGAAACATAACTGATTTTCAGAGCCTGAAAAAGCCTCTTTATTAAGTTCACAGAATTTTTTCCTCTTTATAGGATCTTGACTGGTTCTTATGATAAGACTTCTCGAATCTGGTCCTTGGAAGGAAAGTCAATAATGACAATTGTGGGACATACAGACGTTGTAAAAGATGTGGCCTGGGTGAAAAAAGGTAGGACTTTCTGCTGAAACTAAGAGGAATACTAGAAAGGAATTTGGAAATATCCTATTTTCAGAGCAAGTTAAGAATGGAGAATAGAATGAGTATGAAATGCTTCATGCCATAGTTATTGTAAGATCTTTCAGAAACACAGTGTTTAAAAAAAAAAAAAAACACTGTTCAAGAAGAAAAGGACATTTTTTAAAAAAAATCCATAAATTGATGGCAGTGAATCTTTTCTAACATTATATTAGGTAGTATATATTTTTTAGTTTCTTGAGTGTGTTAAATGCATATCTTCTAATTTTAAAGATTCTTTCCTTTTATGCCATGTTAGATTTCTTTATTTTTTTAAATTTATGTTTATCATTATTTTATCTTTTTGCAATACTAAAATTGAAGCTACATTCCCAACACTTTCAATTTTTTTATTTTGAGACAGGATCTCACTAAGTTGCCGAGGCAGGCCTCAAATTTGTGATCTTCAAGCCTTAGTCTCCCAAGTCTCTAAGATTATAGGTGTATACATTAACTTTCTTTTAAAAGCCTCCTATGTGCATTTATATTTTAAATCCATCAAAAATTTTGAATTTTTCAGTTTAAGAACATGATTATATAAATTTCGTACTAATTTGTTTCTTGTTATTATGTTCTCTTTTCTTCAGATAGTTTGTCTTGCTTACTACTGAGTGCCTCTATGGATCAGACCATTCTCTTGTGGGAGTGGAATGTAGAGAAAAACAAAGTGAAAGCCCTACACTGTTGCAGAGGTCATGCTGGAAGTGTGGATTCTATAGCTGTTGATAGCTCAGGAACTAAAGTAAGTAACTACTAAGTTATTAGTACTTTGTTAAAGTAGAATTTAAGCATTTTACTAAACTTTTTTTCCTTTATATAAATTCCCCGTAATTCATATACTTTCCTAACAATCAGTGGATAAAGAATATGATTTGAAACCCTAAGCAAATACTCATGCAATAAGAGATATAAAGATTTTTTCCCTAGTCTGGATAGCGCTGGTTTAGAACCTTAAATAAACTGTAAAATACTTAAGAAGTCAGGTAAACAAGTAATTTCTTTCTTTAATCATAGTAATTAATCAGCTACTCTAAATGCTGTCATCAATTCAAAATACCTAAAACAATAATCTGAGATGTAGCATACATTAATGTTAATGTTAAGAGAGATTGTTTTACCATTAATGCTGATGTACTCTTTATCATGACAAAATGGTAAATGTTAGTTAAAAAGGACACAAACCTAAGAGCAATACTATATTGACTTATGAGGTTTTAAAAACCCTTTTAAAATTTGAAAGTTTCCTAGGCCACATAAAGTATTGTGGATTTGGGCTGGGGTTGTGGCTCAGTGGTAGAGCACTTGCCTAGCATGTGTGAGGCACTGGGTTCAATCCTCAGCACCACATATAAATAAATAAAATATTCATCAACAACTAAAAAAATATTTAAAAAGAAAAAAAGTATTCTAGATTTAAGAGTGTTTCCATGTTTCTTTGCCAGTTAGAATAACAGAGGACATTTGATACATTTAAAGGTAAAGATTTGATTTTTCATTTTGAGCCATACAGAAAGTTTACATGTTATGGACTTGAAATTTAGGTGAATTAATCATACACTGASTCTTGACTATAAAAGGCAGAAACTCATCATAAACTGGTTTAGGCTTATTGGACCTATGATGTCCAACAAGAGTGAACCACCATATCATTAGGAAGGTGATGATGCATTTGAGCCTCAGGAGCTAGTGGAATGGAAGCCTGAATGTGGCTAGCATACCCTCACCTTCTTGTCTTCTTAAGTCAACTTTATTCTCTCTTGCCCAAAATTGGCTTTCTCCACATGATAGTAAACATTTCCCAGGTCTTATAATCCTATATTCTGTGTGTCTGGAGAAAGACAAACTTCCGTTCTTGGAACATAGGGGTTTTTAAAGGTTCTAAATGGGGGGAAAATGACTAGTACAGTGTAGGTCAGTTGCTCACCCTGATCTAAGTAAACACCACCAGAGCACATAATAATGGCAGCTCCCTTGACTGCTGTGGAGACTGAGAATACAGCAGGTCCCACGAGACTAGGAAGCTGGGCAGATGATACCGTGGTAGTAAAGGATTTCAAAGCCTGTGTTCCACCGAGATTAAATAAGCAAAGTCAGTTTTCAAATCAAATAGCAGAAAAAACAGGGTGAATATGAGTTTTATCACATGCTTTTCCCCTTCATCTCTATCTGTTCAGTTTTGCAGTGGTTCCTGGGATAAGATGCTAAAGATCTGGTCTACAGGTAAATTAAATATTCCTATTATTTTGGCTTATTAATGTTTTAAGAATTCAATTGATAAGGACTTATTACACCCATGTTTTGCCATAAACATAAACAAAGCTTTTTAGGATATGTATAAAGGAGTATATTATAGTGACATATTAGAACATTTTGTGTGTTTTAAGACTTTGTTTTTTACTCTATCTCTCCCTTATTTATTGGATAAGATTGAATTGCCCCAAGCATCAACAGTGGTGCAGTGGAACATGATCACTTTAATTCTCACAGAGTTCTCTTATTAAGAAACATGGAAATAAACAAAAATATCTTTTGAATAATCTTTACTCACTTTAAGTCATTTTAAAAAGAATGGGCTGGGGATGTAGCTCAGTGATAGAGCACTTGTTTACAATTTGCAAGGCCCTGGGTTCAATCCCAGAACTGCAGAAAAAGAGAAAAAAAAATAGTGACTTTTGAGATAGAGTAATTTATTAGTTAAGCTGGTATACTTWAAAAAAAAAAAAAAGATGAAATCTCTGTGTAGTTTTTTTTTTGTTTGTTTGTTTGTTTTAACTTTATTTTGTTTATTTTTTTATGTGGTGCTCAGGATTGAGCCCAGTGCCTCACACATGCCAGGCAAGGGCTATACCACTGAGCCACAACCCCAGCCTCTGGTTTACTTTTTTTTTTTTAATCATTTTTTTTTTTTTTTAGTTTTCGGTGGACACAACATCTTTGTTTGTATGTGGTGCTGAGGATCGAACCCGGGCCACATGCATGCCAGGCGAGTGCGCTACCGCTTGAGCCACATCCCCAGCCCTACTTTTTAACAAAAATTTTTTCAATGAAATTGGTAATATCAAGGTTAATATTCTTACTTGGAAAACAGATTAAAAGGAGCAGTTGGAGGAGAGGAAAGACTCAGAGGACGATGTCTTGATGATAATAAGAGATACTGGTGGGAAGAAAAAAAGGAAAAGCACACATCCAAATATTTGGATTTTAAAATCTTGTAACTAGAACTATTAATTGCACAGGTAAAAAGACCTGAATATTACTTCTGAGGGAACTGCTGTTTTACAGTATAATACCCTCCCCATACCGTTCAGAAAGCAGAATTAAGAGGAATCAAGAAAAACTTAACCAGTTCTAAATAATTATGTATAAGATCCATTTTAGGAGCTGGGGATGTGGCTCAAGCGGTAGCGCGCTCGCCTGGCATGCGTGTGACCCGGGTTCGATCCTCAGCACCACATACCAACAAAGATGTTGTGTCCGCCAAGAACTAAAAAAAATAAATATTAAAAAAAAAAAATTCTCTCTCTCTCTCTCCTCTCTCACTCTCTCTTTAAAAAAAAAAAAAGATCCATTTTAGTAGATTTTATAAAAATGATGAAAGCAAACAAATTTGAGGAAGAAAGTAGTTTAGTTTAGAAATTTTTCCTTTTGTGGTATTTTTTGGTAGAGCTGTATAAATGAGATATTGTATGTTAGCTATCACTTTTAGGGGTTTATAATCACATTAGGGAAAGCAGATTAATATTCATTAGAGTTACAAAACATTAAAATCTGTAGTTTTCAATCTGGGTGTGCTACCTGTCCAATGATATGTAACAAAGATTTTTAAAAACCAAAAATCAGGGGGCTGAGGAAATAGCTCAGGTGGTAGAATGTTTGCCTTGCATGCACAAGGCCCTAGGTTGAATCCCTAGCACCACAACAAAAAACAACTGTGTTCAACAAAGAAAAGCCCGGGACCAGATGGATTCTCAGCTGAATTCTATCAAGCCTTTAAAAAAGAACTAATACTAGTACACCTCAAATTATTCCGTGAAACAGAAGGGGTTGGAATACTTCCAAATTCATTCTATGAAGCCAGTAACACTCTTATTCCAAAACCAGATGAGGACACATGAAGGAAAGAAAACCAATATCTCTGATGAACTTAGATGCAAAAATTTCTTAACATATTAGTGAATCATGTTCAGCAACATATTAAGATCATACATTATGACCAAGTTGATTTTATTCCAGAGATGCAAAGATAGTTTGATACAAATCAATAAATGTAACTCATCACATAAACAGAATTAAGAATCACTTAGTCATCTCAATAGATGCAGAGAAGGCCTTTGACAAAATTCAGCACCCATTCATGATAAAAACACTGAAGAAACGAGGTATAGAAGGAACCTACTAAACATCAGAAAGGTTCTGTGTGAAAAACTCAAAGCCAACCTCATAATAAATGGGGGTAAACTGAAAGTATTTCCTTTAAAACTGGGACAAGACAAGGATTTCTACTCTCACCACTGCTATTTAATATATTCCTAGATATTCTAGCCAGAGCAATTAGGCAACAGAAGGAAATAAAAGTGATAAAAATAGGAAAGGAAAAAGTCAAATTATCACTCTCTGCAGATGATACCATTTAGAAGATCCAAAACATTCCACCAAAAGACTTCTGGAGTTAATAAATAATTCGGCAAAGTAGCAGGTTAAAAAAAATCAGCATATAAACATCAACAGCTTTCCTGTATACCAACAACAATGTCCTTAGAAGGAAATCGGGAATACAATTCCATGCACAATAGCGTCAAAAACAAAACAAAACAAAAAACTAGGAATAGATCTAACCAAGGAGATGAAAGCCCTCTACAACAACAAGTGTAGAACACTGAAGAAAGAAATTAAAGAAGATCACAGAACATGGGAAGACCTCCCATGTTCATGAATAGACAAAATTAATATTGTTAAAATGGCCATAAAATATTCACATTCAATACACTCCCTATTAAAATACAATTGACATTCTTCACAGAACTAGAAAAAAACTCCTAAAATTCATTTGGAATTCTAAAGACTCAGAATAGCCAAAGCAATTTAAAGCCGAAAAAAGCAATGTTGGAGGCATCATAATACCTGACTTCAAACTATACTGCAGAGCTGTAGTAACAAAAACTGCATGGTACTGTCAGAAACAGACTCATGGTACTGAATAGATGACGGGAGATAAATCTGTGTGGAATGCCAATATAAGTGGGATGCCACATATCTATACTCATCTGATACTTGACAAAGGTGCCAAAAACACATTGAAGAAATGACAGCATTTTTTAACAAATGGAGCTGGGACAAGTGGTTGTCCCTATGTAGAAGAATGAAACTAGATCCTTATCTTTTACCCTGCACAAAAATCAACTCAAAATGGATCAAAAACCTCAGAATTAGACCATCTGTGCAATTCCTAGAAAAAGATGTAGGCTCAACACTCCGGCTCTTAGGCACTGGCATTGACTTTCTCAATAGAACCCCTAAAATTCAGGAAATAATGTCAACAGTTAATAAATGTGACAGCATCAAATTAAAAAGCTTTTGCACAGCAAAGGAAACAATTAGGAATGTGAAGAAAGAACCTACAGAATCGGAGAAAATCTTTGCTAGCTACTCTTCTGATAGAGGATTAATATCTGGAATATATGAAGAGCTCAAAAAAACTTTATACCAAAAAAAAGCCCCAATTAATAAATGGCAAATTAATTAAACAGACATTTCTCAAAAAGAAATACAAATGGCAACAAATACAAGAAAAAATGTTCAACATTCATTAGCAATTAGGGAAATGTAGATCAAAACTATAGTGAGATTTCTTCTCATACCAGTCATAATGATAGTTATCAAGTGGTAGATACACTTGCCTAGTTAGCACATGTGAGTCCCTGGGCTTGACCCCAGTATCACCAAAACAAAACAAAACAAAAAATAACTATGTATCACTTTTCCTTGTTAAAAAAAAATGAAATACTCAAGGAGAATAAAGATGACTGAAATGTATGTCCATTTTTTCCCCACATTTTTTCATTGGTGCGTTATRGTTGAATGTATCTCATTTTAACATTGTTTATCTTAGTACTTCCTTTGTAATGAAGTACAATCTGGTTGTAATCCTAGAACTAATAGTAAGTAATTTTTCATAGCTATGGTAAAGTGATTTCTTTTCATAATGGTGATCTTATTCTTATTTTTGAATATTAGTAATCCAGATTTTTTTTTAATGTATAATTTTCTGTTTCCCAAAATGATTAAAATAAAAAATCCTTTTCCTAATGAACTGAGATAATACAGAAAAACTGTATACCCAGAGATGCAAAAAATTCTTTCAAACAGTTTGTAATTAATATTGACAACGTTTTTCCAATATTAAATCTTGTTGTCTCTGATGTAGTCCCCACAGATGAAGAAGATGAAATGGAGGAATCCACAAATAGACCAAGAAAGAAACAGAAAACAGAACAATTGGGGCTAACAAGGGTAAGTAGTAGAACTGACTGTAATTTCTTAGATCTGTCTTAATAAATATGTGGTAATTGAACAGCATTTCCTATTTGTATTTTCTTTTGTTTTACCTTCTTCACTTTATAAACCTACTAAAAAAAAGATGATTGCTTTCAGTAGGTGAAAAATATTAAGCTTTCTTTTAGTAAATTTGTAAATTTTTCTTATAAACCTTGTACTATTGCTACATTTATCTGAATCGTGGAATTGAGTAGCATTGAGTTAAGCTTACAGCTTGGTAGGCTGATTATAGAGCTATTGTAATTGATTTCATGGTACACTCTGAATTAGGATCTTTTGTTTTTAAATCTTGCACTAGAGTTAAGAGAAGCAACTAATTACCTGACTTCAATATTATTTATTTCACATAGTAAGGATATAATTTCTACTAGGGATGCAAGTCATATCTCCTAATCCACTAGGAGTTTAATTTGGAAATTGCCTCTATCATTTAGTTTTTAGATCCCATTAAATTGAACTGTTCATCCAGATTTTGAACAGTTCATCCAGATTTTGTTTTCCTTAAAAAAATGTTCAATTTACAAATAAAGATTGACTACATTCAGAATGTGTAAAATGATGATTACACACACACACACACACACACACACACACACACAATATCATCACCCTTGCTATACACTAGATTCACAGAACTTGTTCACCTCATAAGTGAAAATTTTTACCATTTGACCAACTTTTCCCAATTTCTCCTATACTTCAGCCCCTGACAATCACAGGTCTGCTCTTGCTTCCATGAGTTTGACTTTTCATCCAGATCCTTAATTCATTCTATTTTGTTATGAAGATATGTGTCATAATGTGATCTACTTTGTTTTTATATACTTAATGAGAAGAAAATACTGAGCAAGGTTTAGGAAAACATTTCTCATTTATTTTCTAATATTTATAATGAATGTGCAGTAATCAAGCACATATTTGCACTTTATTTCTGTAGTCACCAATAAGATATCTTACAAATATTGTTGAAAATGAGAAAAGAGTTGATCATAAATGATTCATCAAACTCATCAAGATGCAATAAACAATACACTCACTGGTTCCAACTGAAAGTAGTAATGAAGAACTTCTTAATACATTTAAAAATATACTGCTGAATTGCAAAAGGAAAGATCTGGCAAGTACTTATTTTCCTTACTCTTGTAGGACAAATTAAAGCTGGAAGTGCTGTACCAATTAAATAGTGCATTCAGTGGTAATTTCTATTGATGTATTTCTCTGATCAAATCTCTAAGGAATGTATCTGAGTAGAAAAAGATTTCTTAAGTTATAAAAATTCCTTATTGAAAAGGTAGGTTTGTTCTCTTTCTAAGTTTGCCATTCATGTAGTAAAGTGTACAGTTTAAATGTACACCTCAATTAATTTTTACAAAGGTATATACCCAAGTAATCACTACTCACATCAAAATATGGAGAATAAACAGCACCCGGAAAATTCCCTCTAGTCTACTTCACAGTCAATAGACACTGAAAGATAATCACCTCTGACATATACCATCTTATTTAGTTTTACCTATTTTTAAATTTCATATACCACAATTTTTAAATTCTTCTTTTGATGGACATTTAGTTGATTTCCAACTTGAGGCCACAATGAATAAATCTGCTAAGAAAGTTTTTATACTTGGCTTTGGGATTATGTGTGTGATCACTGTGCAGAAGTAGAATTGCTGGGTCACACAAGGTATGCACATGTTTGGCTTTCTGCATGTTTGATACTGTCAAAAAGTTTTCCAAAATGGGCTATATCAATTTTCACTTCATTTAACAGTAAATGAAAGCTCAAATTACTCCATATTCCCACCAGCACTTGATATGGTCAATGCCATGACTATTTTACCATGTAACATATACATATATTAACTCACTTTAGTAGCTAGGACTACAGGTGCAACCCTCTACACTTGACTACACATTAACTTACTTTTTGAAAAGTGTATTATTAATCAGAAAAATGAGAAATTGTACCGCAATTGATTCAAATGTATGAATTGCTAAGATCACTGTAATGGCATGTGTAGCTAATAAAATAAAGGAAGGAAGAAAGAAAGAAAAGTGTATTATTTTACCCATTTTTTGGTGATGTTTGGTGGAACTTAATTTAAACCCTAGCCTTTTGATATTTAAATGTGAAACGTTTGTTCATCTTTTGGCCCATTTAAAAGAAGTTTATTGGGGTTGGGATTGTGGCTCAGCAGTAGAGCGCTTGCCTAGCACGTGCGAGGCCCTGGGTTCCATCTTCAGCACCACATAAAAATAAATACAGGTATTGTGTCTTACTACAACTAAGAAAAAAAAATTAAAAATAAAAGAAGTATATTGTCTATCTTTTTCTAAATTTTTAAGAGTTCTTTATATATTCTAGACTCATGTTCTTTAATGAATGTATGAATTAACAGGTATTTCATATCACTCACTGCCCTGGGTTAATACCTTTTATTTTTAGAGGAATGCATTTATAAAATTGCTTCCATTGTTCATTTGAGAGAAATAATAGTATATTCAGTTTTTCATTTAGCTTTATATAGGGCTTAAATACATGTATTCATAATTTGTTGTTTGAAATAATGCCAGAAAAGTGCTAATTTTTGTAGTGAAAATGTTGCTGTAATTAGAAATTATAGAAAACTTTGGATTTTTAAAAAATGGAATAAGACATATATTGAAAGTCACCTCTGCATTCTGTTCCAGTACCTGAATTGTATTAATATGAATAATGTTGCCAATCATTTAGTTGTCATTTGCTTCATATATTAACATAAAATTTCTTCCTTTATAATTCTTTTTTCCCTCCTGTACTATTCCGCTTCAATTTGTTTATAGTAATAACACCAATATTGACTTTTCTTCTTTAAAAAAATAAAATAAAACCTGCTCTTTTGGTTATAGCTCTTGGCTTTTTTTTTTTTTTTCCTTATGTGGTGCTGAGGATTAAACCCAGTGCCTTACAGGTGCCAGGCAAGCACTATACCACTGAGCTACAACCCAACCCAGCTCTTGGCTTTTGATCAGTCATACAACCAAGATACAGAAGGGTCTCTCATCCAACAAAATTCATGTTGCCCCTTTGTAGTTTCACCTCCATACCCTCACTACCATTGATCTGTTCTGTTTTTACAAGTTTTCCAGAATGTCACAGAAGTAGAATAACAAAGCGCATAGACTTTTATATCAGCCCTTTTTGTTTAACATATAAGGTAGTTGAGACTCACTCATGTTGTTGAGGGTATCATTGGTTTGTCCCTTTTAGATGTGGAGTAGGATTCTGTTATATGGATATACCACAGTTGGTTTAATCATTCGTAAGTTGAAGGATAGTTGTTTTCCAGGTAGGTAGTTATGAATAAAACAGTATAATATTTTTTATGTTCAGGTTTCTATGTGAACATAAGTTTTCCTTTCTCTTGACTTACCATCTAAGAATGGGATAGCTTATTATTTATAGTTTACCTGTTGTTTCTTTCTACCTTGTCATTTTCTATCCTATAAGCTTCTGATTATCTTTCTTATTCCTACTTCTTTATCAGGTTCCTTTACTACTTTTAGGAAAATTTTAGAGCCAGAAAAGCAGTATTTGTATAATTGGTCCAGGAATTGACAAACACAGCCCAACAACCATTTTGGGTTTATTTTTTATATTATGTATACTTCTTTTTATATTATAGTGCTATAAAAATGGTTTTTACATTTTTAAGGGATTATAAAAACAAATAACAATATGCAACAGAAACTGCATATAGCTGGCAAAGTCTAAAATATTTATTTCCTGGCATTTTACTAATAAAGTGTATTCCCTGATCTAGCATAACCCTTCCAGTTACAGACGAGGTTATATTTAAGAAATCTAACTCTAACAGTTACAAAAGGAGATCAACTGCCTCCCACCCCAGAATTCTTTTTGTCTTTCCCACATATTCCTTATAGGCTCTATACGTAGTTTGAGGTTTTTAATTAATGGACATCCTTTAAAGATTAAACAATAGAACTTCTGGGTGTGATGGCACATGCCTATAATCCCAGCAGTTCAGGAGCCTGAGGCAGTAGAATCGCAAGTTTGAGGCCAGCCTCAGCAATTTAGCAAGGTTCTAAGCAACTTAGTGAGACCCTGTCTCAAAATAAAAAATAAAAAGGGATGGGGATTTGGCTTAGTGGTTAAGGAGACCTTGAGTTCAATGCCTGGTACCAAACAAACAAAACAAATAGGATTTAAAGATGCTGAGGAAGTGGAGTGCCAAGAATGTTTTGAGATTAATTTACCTGGAGGAGTCATGTAGAAATTGGCAGCACCTCAACTCAGACCTAGGTCTGTCTGACCTAAAAGTTTTTTTCACTAACTGTGAAGCAGGTTCATTAATAACAGATCCTAACCGAGGAAGCTCCTCCACCCACCCCACTGCATAGAGGACAGTAAAGATCATCACTATGCTAACCACTAGGAGTAAGAGTTTATACACTTCCATCCACTGCAGTTTTACTGATTGCTTTAGTCCAGTGAGACAGAACACATTCACATGCCACAAGTTACATGAAATAGATTTTATCACTTACAAAGAAGCAGCAAGGGCCAACAGAAGCCTAGGATCCATTGTGAGTCAATCTCCCAAGAAAGCTGCCCGGGGTAGATGGAGTCTTAACTGTGTGCCCCACTTTCACCACAGTGACGAATCCCAAAAAGCAGCAACACCTGGGGTTTATACCCACAGGTCATGAGACCTACTGGGCAATGCTTTGAAGGACATCCTGTTTCTAGGGGGGGCTGGAACTGAGCCCAGGCTGTTCCGGTCAGTCCATCCGTATCTCAGGATGTTACATTCCCAGCATATTCTACAGTTATTCTGAGAACTACAGGATAGGAGAAGAGAGGAAAGACTGGGTCAGTTCAAGGCCATTTGGGGACAGGACTTTAACATTATGTTTAATCATTGAGAGAGTTAAATTGGTGTTAATACTGCTTAAAATGAAAAGTAGAACAGATGAGGAAGAGTCAGAATACAATAGAAAAACTAGAAACTTGGGAGTGCTATTTGGTTTTAAACTCAAGTCTGCCACTTATAAGCTGTATCATGTTGAGCAATTATTCCAGTTTCAGTATCTTCATGTATAAAATAAGAACAGATATATCCACCTTGGAGGATTGTTACAAAGGAGAAATAGAGCAGGATATCAAAACTAAAACACCTGGCAAAAATACCTGGCATATGGCTTTGGAAGTTAATAACTACTACTATTGTTCTAATTACTCTGAAATGAAAATGCTATTCCCTTTTTGGGGGGTGATCTTCCATTTCTAGACTCCCATGGTGACCCTCTCTGGCCATACAGAAGCAATTTCCTCAGTACTCTGGTCAGATGCTGAAGAAATCTGCAGTGCATCTTGGGACCACACAATTAAAGTATGGGATGTTGAATCGGGCGGTCTTAAGTCAACTTTGGTAAGGATTTCAGTACTCCTCTGATTAACTTTGATATTTTAAGTGACAAAAACTTCTAGAAATGCTTACTTTTAGTCTATCATAGTCAAATGTACTTTTCTTTTCCTTTTCAGACAGGAAATAAAGTGTTTAACTGTATTTCCTATTCTCCACTTTGTAAACGTTTAGCTTCTGGAAGCACAGATAGGCATATAAGACTGTGGGATCCCCGAACCAAAGGTGAGTTGTATAAATATTGGCGCATGTTTAAAAAAAAAAGGATTTCTCCAAATATTTTTTAGGTTGGTTCTGCCTATTTTTCTGTTCTAAAATTTAGTACTTGTTATCTTTTTTGCTTTGTTCAGATGGTTCTTTGGTGTCACTATCCCTGACCTCACACACAGGCTGGGTCACAGCTGTAAAGTGGTCTCCTACTCATGAACAGCAGCTGATTTCAGGCTCTTTAGATAACATTGTCAAGCTGTGGGATACAAGAAGGTAAGTCCTCTTTATTCTCTATAAACCAAAGATATCAGTTACTATTATAAAATAAAAAAACTGCCTGGAAGGGTTAGGAAAAAAAGCTCTTGGTTTTACTACCTAATATTCAAAAATACTGATATTTCAAAAAAGCCAGAATCAAAGGATTTTTAGTATGTTGTTTTTTAGCATTCTGAAAAAACCTAATGCCATGTTGCTTTATCTTTTATCAAAAAATACAAAAATCAGAAGTTTATAATCTATCTTTCTGACTTTGTTATAAAACAGGAAAAAATAGTTTAGAAAGATTATCTTGAACCTTAATATAAATTATGTTAATAGAAAAATTAAAAACATAAAGATAATTATGTGTTAAAGGTATATTTCTTTACTTATAGGCTAGTGCTATGGTAATAATAATAATAATAATAGAGAGAGAGAGAGCGTGAAAGAGAGAGCAAGCATGAGCGARCGCACTCCAAAAAAACTGCATACAGAACTTATTTACATGTCTTTACAAGTAGAAAAGATGCATTAACTAAATGCCTGTTTGTGTCCTTAAATCTGCTTTGTAATATATTATAATACTGTTTTATGATACATGACTTGTTAACATCCAGAAGCTATTATATTCATTTTAAACATTTTACATTGCAGTTAACATAATTTCTGGTGATAGTAGTAAGTTCTATGAAGAAAGTAGCTGAGTAAAGGAACACTTCTTGGGGGAGGGTCCCTCTGATATTGCAGTAGTGAGCTAATAGTGGGAAGGAATGAACCATGCACATATCACAGCAGAGGGAACAACAGATAAGGTGGAAGAATCTTGGCATATTGGCAAAATAGCAAGAAGGCCAGTGTTGATGGAGTAAAGTAAGCAGAGAGGAGAGTGGCAGGACATGAAGCAGCTGGTGGTGACCTGCTAAAACATGGTAATGAGTTTGGGTTTTATTTTAAATGTGATTGGAATGCTTTGGAGGGTTTTGAGCAAGGGAGCAAGAATGAAAGCAGAGAGGCTCTCATAATTCAAGACACAGATAATTGTGACTTGAACTGTGGTGGCAGCATTACAGATAAATAACTGGGTACTAGGTGTATGTTGAGGATGGCTCAGGCAGGATTACTATCTTATGGATTCAATGTGAAGATTGGAATCAGGATAATGCTCTCATTTTCTGCCTAAGCAGTTAGGTGATTGATGGTGCCACTTAACCATGGTGGGAAAGGGTAGAACAATGAGTTGATATATGAGGGAAAATCAGAAGTTTTGATTTGTTGTTTCAAATTTCTTGTGCCCATCCAAGTGTCAGGCAATTGGATATACATGTGTAGCTCAAGGGAGAAGTTTGGGCTAAAAATATAAATATAGAAGTTATCAGGGTAGAAATGGCTAGATAAAGTGTATACAAAGCCACGATTTGGGGCTGGGGTTGTGGCTCAGAGGTAAAGTGCTCGCTTAGCATGTGTGAGGCACTGGATTTGATCCTCAGCACCACATAAAGTAAAATAAAGACACTGTGTCCACCTATAACTAAAAAATAAATATTAAAAAAAAAACAAAGCCACGATTTGAGTATAAAAGAAAAATAGTGAAGGAAGTGTGAAATGGGCCTAATTATGAATAAATCTTTAAAACTAAATAACATTTTTCCTGAATATATTTGTTGTAATAAATCTCTGTAGTCTGCTGATTATACAAGAAAAATAGTAAAGGTGGTTGAGTTAAGACTCAGATTAAATGGTTATTCAGGCAAGGATGGTAAATCCTGTAAAATTTTCAGGAAAGCGTGATTATTCATAAATGTTTGTTTTAATCCTGTGAATATATATAGCATGTTAATATTTTCCTCTTTTAGTTGTAAGGCTCCTCTCTATGATCTGGCTGCTCATGAAGATAAGGTTCTAAGTGTGGACTGGACAGACACAGGGGTAAGAATTCATTAGTTACGTGGTGAAAAGGAGACTATATTATTAGAATAAATATGGTATTTGTGTTTATAAAGTTATTAGTTTCAATGTATATCATTTTTATAATTTTRTTCTACAATAAAAAACCTCACATCTCAAGAAACTATTTTGTTTTCTGGTAATAGTAAAATTTGAAATTTTGAAGCAATTTCTTTTCTGTCATGAGTATCTTTATATTTTTTTAGTTTTAGATGGACACAACACCTTTATTTTATTTATTTATTTTTATGTGGTGCTGAGGATCAAACCCAGTGCCTCACATGTGCCAGATAAACACTTTACCACTGAGCTACAACCCTAGCTCCTCTCATGAGTCTTTTTAAAAACTTTTTTGTAGTTGTAGATGGACAGGATACCTTTATTTTATTTGTTTATTTTTATGTGGTGCTGAGGATCAAACCCAGTGCCTCACATGTGCCAGATAAACACTTTACCACTGAGCTACAACCCTAGCTCCTCTCATGAGTCTTTTTAAAAACTTTTTTGTAGTTGTAGATGGACAGGATACCTTTATTTTATTTGTTTATTTTTATGTGGTGCTGAGGATCGAACCCAGGGCCTCATTCATGCTAGGCAAGCGCTCTACCACTGAGCCACAGCTCCAGCCCTTCTCATGAGATTCTTAACAAGAGATTTTAAGTCCATAAATTCACTATTTCAGACTAACTGGATCAAAGTATTTACTAGTCACAAAAATCCTATGTAATAAATATGAATTATAAAACGTGTTTAAAGAATTACCATTTAATTTTGTATGTATACACATAATGTCTTATTGCCTAAGAATTCTTTCTAAATACAGGTCCCAGGGCAACTTGAATAATTTGCAATATCCATTTGCAAACAATTAATGCACTGTCCTTTAAAAACTTTTGTTTTTCTTAAGTAAGGAAAACTGTATCAATTTTCAAACTATTTTATTACATATCTTGACAAAAGCTTCATAGAAAGTACAGTGGCATACTGTCCCTCAACCAAATTCAAATGATCATTTTTGATGTTTTAGTATCCTGTATCATCATACAGGCTGAGTATCTGAAATGCCTGCTGCCAAAAGCATTTCAAAGTTCAGATTTTTTTCAGATTTTGGAATATCTGCACATAAATGAGTTATCCTGGAAATGGGACACAGTCTAAACACAGAATTCGTTTTTATTTCATATATATATATATATATATATATATATATATATATATATATCCTGAAGGTAATTTTATACAATGTATTTTGGTATGCCTGTTTTGTCTGTGACCTATCACATGAGGTCAGGTGCAGAATTTTCCACTTGTGGCATCATGTTTGTGCTCAAAACATGGATTTTGGAGTATTCTGAAGTATAGATTTTTGCTTTTGATTTGTTTTAGTACTGGGGATTGAACCCAGGTCCTCCCACATGCACTCTTCTCTGAGCTACCTCCCCAGTCCAAACTGCAGATTTTTGAATTAGGGGTACTCAACCCAAATAGTAGTGAAATTTTCTGTAAGTGGTCCCTATAAGTGCTAATGTTCAATGTCAGTTAACTGCTCATTTGTAATTCCTAAATACTATAAAAGAATATTATTAGAAGTAGAATACTTAGTTGGTCATATTTTTATTTCTGTTGAAGAAGCTTGGGTTCTTTAGTTAGCTGTTTTTGTTTTTTTTTTTAAACAAATTATTAGTGGTTATTTAGGCTTAGCTATTATATGGAATGATTGTACTTACTTATGTTTTTATGTATTTTTCTGTCTTTCTATACAGCTACTTCTAAGTGGAGGTGCAGACAATAAATTGTATTCCTACAGATATTCCCCTACCACTTCCCATGTGGGGGCATGAAAGTGAATAATGACTTGATATAGAGGCATTCTGTAAATGAAATTGGTAGAGAATCATCAGATTACGCTGATGTAGATGCAGCCTTTTAGATTAAGGTTTATTGTTTTCACCCTTCATGAAAGCTAACATATTACTCGTTTTTATTTTGTGTGTATAAAATAAAATGTGGCCTGTATTCTCTACCCTACGGACTGTGGAAATTAAACTGAGATTTTTTAAACTTCTTTTTACAGTTATTGGTTTGAATTAATATTTGCTTTTGAAATACTATAAAAGAATATTATTAGAACTAGAGTACTTAATTGGCCATATTTTTATTTCTATTGGAGAAGCTTGGGTTCTTTAGTTAGCATCTTTTTAGAAAGATTAATAGAAAATGTTACAAGAAAAGAAATGGAAATCTAATTTCCTTTTGGTAAAACAAGTAGTGTTTATAAGAAAATAAGACTTTGTACATATTTAGAACATTAAAAAATGTAGATGTTGCCAATTTATTAAGACTTCATTGAGTTATTTTAGATGAAGAACTTCATATTAAAGATATGTCAGATCCTTTAGAAATTGCATACAAATTTCAGGATAACCAGGAATCTCCTCTTTCCCTAACCTATCTTCATGTACAGATAAGAATATATTCTCCAGACAAAATCTTTTGGTTGGTATATTAAACATTCTACAAATTTTATAACATTAGCATTTGTCTTTATGTATGTTGTATACCAAATACAAATGTCTTTTTAAAATGTGACTTCAGTCTTTAATGGATTGGTATTCCTCAGACAGAGACCTCAAACTTACAACCTTTTAGTATATGGGAATCAGTTTCGTCTCATTATTGGACTGAAATTCAGTACATTTCAAATGATGTACCTGTTGAAGCCTGGGAAACAACATCTATATTTGGCTGCAGTTGAGAGCCAAATTAATAGTGGATTGAACCAATTAGGAGTTTAATTTTCTTGTATGTAGAAGTCCAGAGGCAGTGCAGGGCTTGAATAGTGGTTTTGTTCCACCTTCCTTAGGACCCCACCTCCTTTCACCCTTAGGATATGGTCCTCATTTTATACATACCAAGAGCTAGAGCTCCAGTTATCACATCATTTCTTAATGTGTATTTTAATGGAGGAAAAAAAAAAACTGAATAAAGGCAGCCAGAAAATTCACATACAGTGTCATTGTTTTTCTCATTTTTTGCTGACTATATATATATCCCAGAGACTGCAGACATGACATTTATATATATAATCTTTGTGAGAGGACAAAAATGAATTCATAGTCCTGTTTTGGATGGTCTTTGAGTTTTAAGGGACAGTTATTTTAAACGTCTTTCTTAATTTATCCAAATGCAATATGTATATACTAAGTGGTTAAAGTAAAGGTAAATAGGCCTATTAATCAGATGCAGTGGAAAAAGAATGGCGTTTATATAACCAATCCCTCATCTATTCTCATTTCTGGTTCCGTAGCAGGATACACTCACAGATAAGGCATTCTCCCCTTGGGATGGATATAACATGAAAGTGACCAAGTTTCTTAACAAGGATTGTCTCTGATTGATCTCTGCTAAACTTCTCTCCTTGGGTAACTAAAAAATTTAGGTCTTATTCCCTAAACAGGAAGAATATGAGAGGCCAGTAGAAGCCTAGAAGGTCCAGTCCTCTTATAATATATTGCCCCTCCTTTTCCTCAAAAATTGGGAGTCTGCCTTTCAATGGTCCCTTTTCTTCCAGTTGAGGCTGGTGTTACAGAGGTGGGTACACTCATTTGCTCCTAAGATTGATTCACTTGGAGAAAAGACTGGAGCTGCTTTCCCAGTACTGAGAGAAGGTGACCACAGGGGATTACTTATGCTGTTTGCCACAGCAATGTAGTTCATAATATGTTGATAAGTGCTCTCTTACCTCATCTCATAAAGAATTCCTTTTCTTACTATTCTTACTACTTAATAGTAAACTTTCTAAATTTAAAATTAGGTTTTAATTAGAGATTAAATTAGGGATTGGAGGCATTTAGCTCAGAGGTAGAGGGCCTGCTTAGCATTTGTGAGGCCCTAGATTCAATACCCATCACCCCCACCAAAAACAACAACAAAACATAGGCACATAGGCTTAGTATACCTAATTGAACAAGTCAGTTCAAGGGAAAAAGCTGAACTACTCTACACCTGAATCTCTGCTGGGGCACAAGAAAAGGGAAAAGCATGAGAGTATAAGATATGTTTTGTATACTACATTTAAAAAGATAACACTCTTACATGGGAGATAATCATTAAAAATGAAGCTACAACAATGTCCTGTGTGCATGAGGTAGACAGGTGGCTTAGAGAAGGGAGCAGCAATTAGCTCTGGGAAGCAAGTTGGCTGTCAAGAAGGGCATCTTAGGGCTGAGGCTATAGCTCAGTGGCAGAGTGCTTGCTTAGCATGTGTGAGGCACTTAGCACCACATAAAAATAAACGAATCCTTAGCACCACATAAAAATAAACGAATAAAATAAAGGCATTTTTCCATCTATAAAAGAAAAGTTTTTTTAAAAAGAAGGGTATCTAAGAAGAGTGACATTGAGTCCAAGTTAGGCAGATAATTGAGGGGCAGAATGAAGCTATAGGTTATTTCTAGCAGAAGGAGAGGCAGAAGTATCAGAATAAATACTATTGAGTTCAGATACTATGAGGAAGGAAGTGGTCATAACATTTCTTCATGTACTGAGGAAGGCTATTCTCAAACTACCTTCAAAATCTTTTTCATAGAATGATCTTTTTATATTGGAAAATATGAAAACAAAATCTTGCTGTGATGATTATCTAGAGATTTTTTTAAAAAAATATTTCAGGGAGAAGTGTTTTTATTTTATTATTATTTTTTTAAAGTGAGACAGATAACATGAATACATATGAGAGGTTTTTTTTTGAGAGAGAGAGAGAGAATTTTAATATTTATTTTTTAGTTTTCGGTGGACACAACACCTTTGTTTGTATGTGGTGCTGAGGATTGAACCCGGGCCGCACGCATGCCAGGCGAGCATGCTACCGCTTGAGCCATATCCCCAGCCCCTATCTAGAGATTTTTATTCCTTAAAAATTTTTTTGGGCTGAGGTTGTAGCTCAGTGGTAGAGCACTTACCTAGCATGTGTGAGGCACTGGGTTCGATCCTCAGCACCACATTAAAAAAATATATAAATAAAACAAAGATATTGTGTCCATAAAAAAATTTTTTTTTWAAATTTTATTCTACACTGGATGTAGAAAAACAGTTTTCTGGGTAAAGAACCAATATTTGCCTTATATATCCTTTTCCCTTGAATTTAGAATTCCATTTTGGAGCTGTTAACAACAATGCATAAAAATATGTCCAAATGCCTTCTAGCATTATCAGGGGAAAGAACAAATGAATGTTTAAATTGATATAAGATATACATAATTGCATAATGAACAAGCATCCCTATAAAACAAAACAAATACCATCTGAGAATTTCTGATAATAACACTGAAATCTGTCCCCACAGCCTAAAATTCTTTTGATGTATTCTAGTTTTGAAAAGTCACAGTTGCTTATATAAAACAAATTTAAGGAAAATATTAATTATTGATGTAACTGAAACTCTGTTTTTTAAAGGAGAAAATGGGACATTTAAGACTGTAAGGAATATCCAATTAATATCTTTTTAATGATATTAATAGTCACTAATGAGAATCAGGTTTCAAGAGGCAAGTAAAAATCCAGTTTTGCTAATCCAATTGCCAGGTACAAAATCAGCAGGGCCTTTGAATTATTTCAATTTTAATATTTTGATGATTGTGACCTCAGGTATCAAACATAATCATGTTAATATTTTGTTATGAAGTAAATATATCTAATAGTAAAGTGGTTTTTTTGTTGTTGGTTGGTTTACTAGAATTAGGATATCTTTGTTCTAGTATCAATTCCATCAATTTTGCAAATTTAAGGAAGTAAATTATTTCTCGTGTCTATGAAAAACAACAATAAAACTATCTTTCCTTAACAATCTGCTGACGTAGGTACTGAATTACCTATTTTATAGATAGAGTTAAGTTACTGAAAAGTCATGCCATCAGTTAATACCACTGTCAGGATTTGAACTGTAACTTAGCTGAATTTAGAGCTCAAACTCTAAAACAGAAAAGTTGCCCTTTGGTCTCTTCATTGGCTCCAGGATTCCAACAGATATCCAAATTCTCCTATACACAAATCTCTTACATAAAATGGTATATTTGCCTATGACTTATTAGTCCTCCCACATTCACGTCATCTCAAGATTACTTATATAGTTGACCCTTGAACAATAAAGGGGTAGCTCCCTTGTTGCAACTGAAAATCCACATATAACTTTTGACTTTCCCCAAACCTAACTACTAACAGCTTGCTGTTATTGGAAGCCTTACCAATAACAAACAGTTAATAAATATTTTGTATATCATGTTTTGTATACAGTGAAAATTACAGGAGAACCATGAGAGATCACTTTTTACTGAAAGGCACAGTGTACTGGATATCATATTACTAACATCCTATGATTTTAAGCAGGTACAATACTTGAGCTTGCTTCAATAGCAGCAGGAGGTGGCTGTGAAATTGTTATAGTAATACAGTATGTACTGCAGTTAATTTTACAGTTATTAAATACTGCATCCTTATGTGTGTTTACATTCCCCTTGACTCAATGGCACAATGTATGTGTATTTGCATAAGTTTTTTTTATATATTTTATCATTTTATTAGGAATAATTTCAAATGGGTTATGAAGAAAACTTATTGTGTTTGCTGAGTTTTCAAAAAAACTCTTAATGAAGACATGTTCATCAATAAACAAAACACCAGCAGAACTATCATATACTGGGCAAAGAGTCAGGCTGATACCAAAAGCAAC